GGCACAGCAGCCCTTGAATGAAGACAAGACACTGTCCCTTCACCGCCCCGCCCCCCCGCCCCCCATCGACATCAGCCTCGCCTGCTTCAGAAAATGTCAGAGTCCTTGCTTCTGGAGGGGAAGAATTAAAATCTACAACAATGCCCGGCCTCCAGAGCTCCCAGTCCATTCAGGGAGACGACATATAAACAGACAGCAGCCCCAGTGGGGTTGGGAAAGTGCTGAAATGCGGGGCCATCTGGGAGTGGAGACAGAAGCCACTTCGCAGCCTTCCCGGGGCTGGGGAAGGAAGTTAGGCGTTAGGTACACGATGCCTCAGCTGAGAAAAATACTATGAGTATTTAAATATATAATGAAGAAATCGATTTATATACTGCTCTTGTAACTCTAGTGTGAGACACATTTGAATTTTGGTTCTCGTACATTTGAACGTGTGAGACACATTTTGAAATTCACAGTTTCACAGCTTCAATCAGGCATTCATAAGGCGGACCATTTTTGCTAACGGTGCCATCACTCCTCTACCTGCGTTCACCGATTTGGGGGTTCCTATGGCACAAAGCTATTAAAATCCCATATTCAATAAGGTAAATCATACTTACATCCCCAGGCAAAATCAAGAGCTGTCCGGCTCAAAAACTCTTTCATCAGTCAAATGTAAATTACCTCGAGAAATGCCAAGCGTTTTCCGGCCCCGGAAACTGTTGCCAGAGAAGGTGGACATCTGTTCCTGTGAGCTGAGTTCATTTTGTGAAGGTCTACTAGTTAAACTCAAAGCAGCTCTCAGTTTTGGGGTTTTGCTTTGCATATCAATGCCCTTGATTGTCTTATCTTCATCTCTTTCACTTTACAACGTAAGCGATTTAGTCATACCAGAGGATTCTGACCCAAAGACTGGAGTGCAGTTTTGTATTTTGAGTGCATCTTGTATTTTGCAAATTTATCACTAAAACCCACAGTTGCTGAGCCTATGGGATCCATTCGGGCACGATGCAAAGGGGATAACAAGAAATGAGAACCCACTAGAATAATGCTGCTATTGTGTCTGCCTACTTTGTTTGTGGGTTGGGGGGGGGTGGGAAGGGGGAAGGGCAGTATTCGGCAGGGGGAGGCCCGTGGACATTCACTGCACCGCGGTCCTGAAATCCACATCACGCGCACATGGCTCCACCTTATTTCAAGATGATGTTGCAGATGAAGGGGCAGAGTGAAGGGCTCCGGCGTGTTGTCCTGTTCGTCGGCCACGCGCTGGTGGCCACCGGGCCACCCAGAGTACGATGACCTCTCGATGGGCCACGGAAAAATGATAAAAGGTGTTGGGTACCATGGGCTGCTGTGCCAGGGGCACTCGGGAGAGGTTTAGGGTGAAAACAGTGACACAGCTGTGGGTATGCGGCCGCCCAACAGCCAACGGCGGGATCAGGGATCATACGGGTGATTTGGTGCTTTTGCCCCTGCCTCGTGGCCCAAGCAGCAGGACAGACGTGGCTGTGGTTCTCCTGGTCTGAATGTATAGAATTCAATCTATCCAGACCAACGGTAGCCCAGGACCTAGCGTGTGGGAATTCGTGGGTCGGCTGATCTCTGAATCCATGCTGGCGTGCCCCAGGGTCCTCTGGGGGGGACACGACCCGGACTCTTCCTTTTCGTCGTTTGGGGCAGCGGTTTTCAGAGCCGAGTCAAGCTTCTGTTTTGCTTCAAGCCCGTCAAGGGTGGGCTTGGGCATCATTCGCCTTCAGAGGCTGGTGAGCCAGAGCCGTCTCGGGACCCGAAGTCCCACGGTTGTTGGCCTGAGACCCTAAGATCATCTCAGGTTGCCACCTGCCCACCGTGGAGGCGCCTGGCCGCTGCTCGCCGGCCGTCGGGTCAGTGTCTACGATTAGGCGTACGTGGAAACTCACCAGCAGAGTTAACGCAGACTCTGGGGCCAGCAGGTGGGTTTTTTAGGGGCCTCATCTTGGGCACATGAACCCCTCTGGGCTGTACTTTCCTTGTTTGTGAGATGACAACAGTCCTAGTTTCTTCCGAACTCGGCTGTTGTGAGGGATCCGGGAGAAAATGCGCGTAAAGCATTTCATGTAACCACCTGGGAGACAGGAAGGTACAAAGGCTGGCTGCCGTTGCCAGGACGTCTCACGCTGAACTTTTCCAGGGAGTCCCACCGTCTCTCTCCTTGAACTTGGGCCGGAAGGGCTTTTCTGCAACAGGGGGTCACGACTCCGGGGATCTGGCGGCAGGGGGAGAGCGTGGTGGGGCGGTTTCTGAAGCTTTGCAAGACAATTCCACGAGGCTCAAGGCCACTGTGCTCTGAGCCTGTGGCCGTTAATTTCAAGATGGATGGCACATTCTTTGCAGAGAGGTTGCCAAGGAACGAGGTAATCCTGTGACAGAAATACCGCCCGGGGCTTTCGGTTTGCTGGCCCGGAGGGCTTTAGGTGGTGTCAGATTTTATTACTAGCATTCCTGGTCTCCATGAAATAACCACGGGAGAACACAAATTGCGTCAAAGGACGCATCTACGGGCCCTGATTAGCGCCGCACAGAAAACAGGCACTTCGTTTCCTTCTGATGCTGATCCAAAGATGGGTTAAAAAAAAAAAAAAAAAAAAAAAAAAAAAAAAAAAAACACAAGATCAAGTACCTTTAGGCTGGTCTGTAACCTCCCATCTGGTCAGGTGACCTGCCCATAAACTGGCTCCTCAGCAAGTCAGCCGCGTGGCCTCTTGGCCCCAGCCTCGCTAGCCACGTGACCAAGGTTGGCTCCACCTTCACTAGCCAAGTGACCAGGGATGACTCAGGTCACCCTTTCAGATCGCCACCGGCCTCCTCAGTGGGTGATGTGCAGTGAATTAACCCACGTCCGCTCGGTGGGCACATGGCGGGCACCAGCGACCGCCAGCCCCCCCTTTCCTTACAGATGGCTGCAAAGGGGGCGCTCTGTCCCAACAGAGGGGGCCTGGAGGTTTTGCGGGGGAGAAGGGCAGCCGGAGGGGACCGTACTTTTTACCAGCGTATTCAATATGGAAGCATAGTGTGAGGTAGTACTTTAGTAATTTCTTTTTGTTTTGCGAGAGAGAGGGAGAGAACACGCCTGCCTTCGGGGGAGGGACAGAGAGAGAGGAAGAGAGAGAATCCCAAGCAGGTTCCACACTGTCGGTGCAAAGCCCAGTGCGGGGCTTGATCTCACCAGACCATGACCTGAGCCCAAAGCAAGAGTCGGATGCATAACCAACTGAGCCACCCAGGTGCCCCGATCTAGTGATTTCTATACCCCAAAGTGAGTGACCCTTTGGCTAATAACTTCAGATTATGTGAAGCAAAAGAGTAACTATAATGGCCACATAAAGCATTTATATCCCAGTGAGTCAGTAAGCATTCCTAATGATGTAGAAAGTTCTTAAAAAGAGCTACTGTGATCATGTGACTTGCTGACGCTTTGTACAAGTCTGGCACGGATGTAACGTGCATAAACTATACACACTGTCGAAGGCGGGAAGCTCCTCAAATAAAATCATAGGATCTTACTGCAAACTTCACATCTTGCAAGTATAAAAACTTTTCGTGGAAACAAAGTTATAACCAAAGTCGAAAAGAAAATAGATGCAGATTTGACTTTACAAACTTTGACCATCAGCCACAACACGAGTCAGTTGCAATGAGACGTGTGGTTGGCTCCAACCCACTTTAGGAAACGCTGCTTAGGGAACAGCAGGACTCCAGTAGCCAGCTTGGGGGCAGCTATAAGGAAGCTGGAGATGGTGGGGAGGGGAGGGGAGGAGGCAGAAGGTTCTGGGAGACGGACGTGTGCAGAGTGCTTGAGGTCCTTCCTGCTCCTGAGAGGCTGGTCTCTGCCGAGGGCCCAAGTCCTCCCTTCCAGGTGGGGGCAGAGTCTTGGTGGATCTTGCTGCCATGTTCCCATTTATACTGGTCTGACCCGCGGGCACGGGCAGAGGGGAAGTGGCCGGGCCGCCCCCTCCCCCCAGGAAATCCTGCCCCTCCGCAGGCAGAAGGCATGCCCACCCCGCCCCTGCCTCCACAGCTCCTTCTTTGTGGCCGTGGGGCAGGGAGAGGAGCGGTGGGCACAGCGGGGCCGGGGCAGGGGCAGGGGCCGTCCCCGTCACTGCTCTTCCTCAGGGCGAGCACGCTGCATTTCCTCCAATGACGGGAACAGAACTCTCCACGCCAAAAGCCAAGCAGGACAGGATTTCTAGGCCGCTCTGGCTGCTCAGGCAGTTTGGGAGATGAACTTGAGCTCCAGTGCCAGGGTCTGTGGGGGATGATGGGATGGGGCTTAAAAAGCGGCCAGGATGGTGGGTGGTCAGTGAGCCAGACCCCGTCGTCAGCCTCCGTGGAAGCCTAGCGCACGGGGAACTGGGGGCCGAGCCCACCTGGGAGAACCGTCTGCTACAGGGGCTGCGTTCGTTTTCAGGAACAGCCCAGAAGTTACAGAAGAACCAGTTCGGTCTCCAGGTCAGACAAGCTTGCTCCCCGGCTTTCATCACAGTGTAGCCTTTACACCTAGACAGCAAGGCCAGTCGGGCGTCAGCCAGGAGGCAAACTTTACCTTGGGAGCTGGGCGATGCCAGGAAAGTGACCGTGTCGGGCGGGATTAAAGAAGGCCCTGGAAGGATCCAGGGCTGAGCCCAGCGGGGCGGTGAGTGTCGGGCGGCCTCTAGCGGCCACTGCCGGTCACGCTGCTCAGCGGACACCTGACTCGCAGGGAGAAAAGACACTTCTTCCATTTCTTCCAAGACAGCAGCAGTCGTGAGAATATAAAACAGATCCAGAAGCAAAACATGTAATTACATTTAGTATTTAGTCAAAGATACTAAATAGTTGTTTTGAAATACAAATAACTGAGGCTGATGCTTTTGAGGATATATTTATTAAATTCTAAAACCTTAAATAATTTTTATCGGACACATTCAAACGGAAAGCAAAACTAGGACAACTAGAAATTCAACATTTTTCAGAGGGTTGTGGGCGCCCTATTATTATTTAAATGTGTTTTTATTTTGCCTACAGGAAAGGTGAGCCGGTATTAATGAAAGCATCACCAACTGGTGAACTTCATCTTGGCCTCCACTTGATGTCTTTTACCCCGTGGAAATGTCTTTTCAAAGCAGTGTTATCTGCCCATGGGGAATTTAAACAGGAGTCATCGTCATTTTCTTCCAATTTCTGGAAATAAATTGTTTTACACAGGAAGGCATTTCAGGAAAGTGTTTTGCAACATGAACAGACTGAAGGAAGAACCCACGTCCAAACTCCCACTCCCGTCTCCCCAAAAGGATGCTCCCAGACTCTAATGCAGGTGGGATGCCTGGCAGGGTCCCGGGGGCCCTGGAGAGGCGGGAGCTCTAGAAACGCCCCTCCCTACATCCTGCAGAACTCACGGCCCCTCCGGCGGCCCCCCCGCGCACTTGGGTAAGGAAGGGGGTGAATGCCCGTGGCGCCAGCTCTGCTGAAAACCTATCAGCCCGGTACCTTGAGCTCCTCCTGTCTTCTGTGATAATACAGCATCAGCTGCTTCTGCTCCGCACTGCTGATGATCGGTTCTCGGGCTGGGGCCCCCTGTCCCCTCTGCAAAGACGAGGGCAGAGCAGACTGTGGATTACAGCACTCTTACAGGGGCCTCCCAGGAAGTTACAGTGAATGTTTTATAACCGCCTTTGCCGACTGCTACACATAAACTGGTGATCCGTTCTGATCATCAGGAGAGGCTTGGTCTCCAGCAGCCCCTCAACCCTGGGCCCTCATGTGGACAGAGACCAGAGGCCGGGCAATGCCACCGGCCGCCACGGGTCCAGTGGAGAAGGGATGGAGATAATCATGGAGAAATGATTTAGGCAAAGCAGCCTCGCACGGATACGGCTCTACGCGATCTATATCTGTAACGACTTCTGGCACATCCTCCTTGTTTACAGAGTATCAGTACTTTGAAAACTCGAAATCAGTGCTCTAGGCTGTAGTTTCCATTTTGAGAACCACTTTTAGTAACTTGTAGCCCTATTTCTAAGGTTGAAATTAGCATGGCTTATGTACACCCCCCCCATTAAAACAAACTCCAGATATCGTCAAGCAATCCATACTGTCTTCCAGTTTTCGCTGTTTTACGTTAAGCCTGCACTAACGGGATTAAAGTATCTGTAACAAAGAGACTAAGTGAGAGTTACTCTAATTTTTTATTGGTTGGAAAACAGTTAACAAAAAGTGGTGTCGTGTGAAAGCAAAAGTACTCACTTGCTGAATCTTGGCGATAATTTTGGTTTTCTCATTTTTGCCCACATAGTCTGAAAGCTTCTTTGTTCTTCTGAGCTCCTTGGCCGCCCACCACAGTTGGGCCTCTGATTCTTCAATAACATTCAGTCCTGCCTGGGGCCGTGGTCAGAACTGGCTTTAAGGTGCATCCGGACACTGGCCCACGCGTGTGATCCTCCCCCAGGTGCACGGAGCCTGGCTGGTCCCCCCTCCACCAGTGTGGGGCAGGGTCTGGCATCTCAGCCCCACCCCACCTCACCTCTCCCCACGGGCGACACCACCACCCCCACCGAACCAAAGCCCTTGCTCATTTTCATGCCTTTCCTGGTAGCTCCAACTCTTGCCCTGACTTCGTCACCCTCCTGCTCTGGGAGGTGGGGAGCACCCTATCTCATGTGTACCCTCATCTACAATACAAGGTCCTTCTTGGATGGATTTTGAGGATACTGCCAGGAAAGAACACTGGAATCCAGCCCGGTTTTTACATCTAGGCACAATGGGGCTGTTTGTCTGCTTCTGCACAGCCCGCCTATTTAAGATGGCTCAGAGCCACAGGCACTGTCCAATGGGATAAAGGATAAATGAGAAAAACAAAGGAAAATGGAACATAAATGCAGGAAAATAACATGAAACAAAAGGTGAGGCTAGAACACAAAATTCCAGGCAAAGGGACCAACGAATGCACTTTGGGTAGAAACAGGCACGAGTTAGGTTTCTGGCTTCCCAGTGGCCAAAGAGAACGGGCAGGTTTTCAGTTACTCCTGCTGGGCAGCCCCACAAACTTCCTGCCCCTCTGTGTGCCCTCAACCACGAGCACTACCTTCGGGGTCTCCCCTAAACCCAGGGCTCTGCTTGGAAGCACAGCATGGCAGGATGGAAGGCTGTGTATGAAGTGAAACACGACGTTTTCTTCAACTCTGCAGGGACCCACCCCACAGGACGCCCAAGAGCCACATACCTGAGTCCCAGACAAGTCTTCTTTATTTTCGAATTCCATCCGGATGGGATCGTATGGCGGCAGCCCCATGGGATAGACAATCATCACTGCACCTCGCAGCTGGTCCAAGGCATCTTTCACCATCTCCATGGTAACACAGACTCCGGCTTCCACTTGTTTCTGAAGGGACAGGGACAGGAATCATTCTGTACAATGGGACTGACCGATTCAGTAAGTACTGATCAGGTTCTTGTACCAGCCTCCTGCAGAGACGACTGCCACAGGACACAAAGGACTTCAATGGGGCTTGCTACCGAAGCCACCAACATCCTCGTGGGGCTTCTGCTGCGCCCGCCACGGCCTAGACCACCAAGCAGACTATGAGCGGGGCCGACGAGGGCAGTCAAGTGCGGAGGACGCTCAGCAGCGCAGACCGAGGGGATCGGGCCATGCCACGCCACGGTGGGGGGAAGGTGGAGCAGGCAGGTGAGCGACAGGACCAGGAGAAGCAAAGAGCGGCAGGTAAGTGCAGCCAGTGCACCAGTGCCCAAGGGGGTTGGCGACGTTGGGGCTCGTGCTGGGGAGGCCAGGCTGAGGAATCTGCACGGAGGACAGGTGGCGACGTCGGCTCCCGGCTGGGGGAGAGCAGGGAAATGCCCAGCAATTTCCTGAGTGGCAGGAATGTCTGTTACTCATAACGAGCCCCTTTGGACCACACCAGAGTTTATGCTAATGAGGTGACCCACGTGGGACCTCATTTCAGGGAGAGGGAGCAGAGATTAGAGGGTTGAAACTTTCAGACCCAACCCCCATCACCATCCTGGCGGGGGGGGGGGGGGGGGAGAAAAGGGAGGGGAGATGGAGAGGAGTCCCGTGGCCCAGGATTTTATTACTCACGCCCACGTATAGAAACCCCGATAAAAATCCTGGGCATCGGAGCCCGGAGGAGCTTCTGGGGCGGAGAACACACTGCTATTCGAAGGCAGGTGCCGGGAATCCCAGGAGAGCGCCCACAGGCTCTGCACCCCGCACCCCAGACCTCGCCCTACATCTCTTCCACTTGGCGCCGAGTTGTGTTCTTTACAACAAAGCCATAGTCGAAAGTACAGCGCTCGCAGTGTGTTCTGTGAACTGGTGAACCAGGCGGGGGGTTGTGGGAACCTCCAGATTTACAGCCGGGACAGAAGCGCTGTGGGTTGCCTGGCGTCTGAAGGTGTGGGCTCTTGCCGGGGACCTTGCCCTTTCACTTGAGGGGTCTGCAGCAACACTGCGTAGTTGGTGTCAAACCTGAACCCAGGCCTCCCGGTCGGTATCTGCAAGGCACCAAAAGGCTACCAGGGCGCCTTCAATAAAGCGGTGGCTATGGCAACGGAAGGCGCTGGGTTGTCGCCATCGTGGGACAGATGGTACAGGACC